TGTTTTCTCCTTAACTTCTCTTTTAAAAAAGGGAACAAAATTAGTCACTAAAACACTTTGGCATTAATGAAATATTCAATATTGGACCAAATATTTTGTACAGTTCACGCATTGAATAAATTTGAATAGAGCGAGAACAACAATATTCGACTGAAAATAATGTGAATTCATATAGAATAGAGTGAATTTGTCTAGCAATAGGATCCAGGATTGGTGTTTCGTCTTATTCGGGACTAGTTATCTAAATGTACCTGCATCAGTGTTGGTGCTCATTTCAGGACTTGAACTTAGTACCTTGAGTTTTTGAACATAATATGTTTTCCATCTAACTACTTATTTCAGATGACTACACACTTGTGGAACGAATACGAGTTTTAATTCAATTCAGCGGTTAAGATTATCCCTTTGTTAATATTTTCAACTGAAATGTGATCAATTTGTACAGGCTGTGTATATATCAACCAAGACGGATCAAATTTCAGTCAAAAATATCAACAATAGTATAATCCAAATCATTCTAAATTGACTTTATATAAATTCATTTTGTTTAGTGGATTCACATTATTATTGAACTGGGTTAACAAAACATATTTATCGCAAAATATTACGAAATGGAAACTTTGTAAATGTGAATATTTGAAATAACAAGTGTTATCAATGAGATATTGTTCATAAATTCAGTCATTGAAAACAATCATCTTGAACAGAAAATATAAAAATTTTATATTACATAATAGTTGTAAAATAATGTTATTTGAAAGGAGTTACATAAGTTTAGGAAAATAAATTAGCATAAATTACATAATGAACTAACAAGAATCCAACTAGACATTCAATCAACTGATAAGATTTTATGAAATATAAGATGAATTCATACCATTTTTTATTGAAAATTTCTAATTCTTCTATTTCAACTAGTTTATACAAAATTGTGAGTAAAGACATAGAAACTCATATTATATTGTCCAGATACGGATTTTCATTACAATTAGTTACCAGATTAATTAAGAACTATTACAGAACGTAGACTGTGATTTAAACCATATTCTAATAATTTTATTTTTAGATCTAAAACTATTTTTTTTAGATCATACAATATTGAGTTACGTAATTAAATGGCATACATATCTATAATACATATATATTATTTCAGTGTAAATGGTATGAGTTACTAATAAAGAACAGTGAATTTCCTTAATGATTAGATTTATCAAGCTGAAAATTGGTCAGATGACTAATCTGGAATGGATTTTAGACGATATAATATACAGTAAACTTTAGGAAAACTAAAGGAAGCAGTAGTGGTTGAAGGTGGTCAACAGGAAACCTTGGACCTTAGTTTCGTGCTACTTGGCACTCGTCAGCAAAGTGTGCCTGTAACCTTGAGGGAACTGGCGCTCCCTGACGGATTCGATCCCATGTCACCCGGCTCCACAGTCAGAGACGTTACCACTGGGCTATCCGGGCCACGACCGACCTCTTGCAGGACTGAGATGTAATCACATTTGATTGATCACTCGGTGGTGATCAATGTCATATGTGTCAAGTCCTTCTTAATGCAGACCGAATGCTATCGGCCTATGTCGAGTTACCTAGACTAATGGCCATTTTACAACTTGGTTAATAGTATTTGATCTGCACTAAGAAGGACTTGACACACATAACATTGATCACCACCCAATGATCAATCAAATCTGAAAGGAGGCAATACTGCATAATAATAATAATAATAATAATAATAATAATAATAATAATAATAATAATAATAATAATAATAATAGTAGTAGTAGTAGTAATAATAATAATAATAATAATAATAATAAAGGGGTAATTAAGTAGTATGTTAATAACCATTTCTTCTGATATACAACAAAATATATAGTTTACACAAATAAAATCATATGGCTGGGTTATTTCTAGTGAATTATTCCATATGATTAAATATATTAATACTTTATTATACACGAAGTTACTTTAAAAGTTTAGTAGAAGTGAACAATTTGAACTTACATGTATGATAATGAAAGATTATCCGTAATTATGAAGTGAATTTCATTTTTATCTAATTTACATGAAGAATAATTATTTACAAGTATAATTTTAAATTAATTTATTAGAGAATTAAGAGTTGACAGCATTGTGTCTTGTCACATCAATATTATTCACTATTATTATCAATGAATTCTTTTTAAAAATTGTTATTAGCATATGATTATGGTAATCGGTTGGAAACACTAAACGTAATTTTAATGATAGCTAAGATTATTTTTTGTGTTCTGAAAAATTTATACCCTTTAGTTTTCAGGTTTATTTTACCAAGCACATAAGCCAGAAATCTTACATTTGGAATACTTACCATTAGATTGACAATATTTAAGAATAAGTGCATGATTTTTGTTATTTATATTATGAAGTGACTTCAGTTAGAAAACCAATGAGCTATTTGTTCTAGTACTAGATTCCTCAGGATTATGTACCGACAAATTCATATGTAATAAAACTCGAGAGCTTCAGCGTGGGATTACCTTTGCATAAATGGATTTGTAATACTAGTTCTTATTACTGAGTTTAGTTAATCTGTAAAATTGATAGACCATCATCGATTAGCATTAGTAATATTTGTTTCACTTCCAGTATGAATGAGCACTGGTTATAGTTTTACATCATAGCCTCGGGAATACTTCTAGGGTGTGGTCGATTATGAATGCAAATTGACTAAATAGGGAAATATAAACCACTGAATATCGATTCAGTGGTTTAAAGGTAACTCACTCATTACTAGCCCCAAAAATTTAAGTTCGAGATCTGGAAGGATCATGAATGTGCACTATCGAAGAGCCCTACGCCAGCCAACTAATGCTCCTTGATATTTAGTCTAGTTAGAGTCAGTTCGTAATGTCAATTACAAACTCAATAATCTTAAAATCTTCATCTGCTGGCATTAATTTTCACAAATGTCGAATCTATGATACCAACAATATTTTGTTGATCAAAAGTGATGTGGTTAATAATCTCATTAGAAGCTATTCAATCTAGTAATGAACCTGAGTAACACCGGTTCTGATCTGTAATGAAAGGGATATCCACGAGGTTACAAGCATGGCTTGATAAAAGCATAATAACAATGTTCAAACGATTTCATCCAACTGACAAATAAGAATTATGATGAAATGTAACATTGAGTCACTTGACCTAATGGTCATACTATAAACTTCTTTATTGAAATTTAATTCAAACTTTTAGACTAGATAGGTGACTGTTTTGTGTCCAATCACCTTTGTACTTGCTATATAAAATCAGTCTCATTTGTATTATGACATTTAGGCTTAGATTTGTTGAAGAATAATCTGCATTAATTTAGTATTTAACGTTACTATTTTGGAATTTGGTAAATATTTAAGAATGGGTTTTGTGACGAGTTGAATGAAACTCATTATTCGAGCTTGAAAATACTGACCTATCAAGACAAAATTGTCAATCATAAACAAATGAAGTCTCTCCATGTGTACAATAGGGTCCTATTTTACACAACAAAAGAGAATGAATACATTTATTCATCGGAATGATTGGTTACTATAGTAACGGTCTCCTAGGTTATGGACAGTTTAGACACAAGGAGTACCTGTGAACACGTGTAAATTAGTCAAGTCCAGAGATTAAGAATAATGCTTATCTTTTCATAGTCAAATTCGAAATGCTTATGATGATTAAGAAAGAATAAGGTGTGATGATCAACAAATAGATCAAACGACTAATTATTTGAATCTACCATAGATGTAAGCTTAACGTTACATGGCTGCTAGATGAATTTGGGTCTATATTTTCAGTGAATAAAATAAAAATAACCAATACTTAACTCGACATTTTGTTAGGATGGAATGCATTTTAGTCAGCATGACTTAGGTTTATGGATTGTGAAATTAATTTTCAAAACGTCAGCAACAAACCTGTGTCCGTTGGATGCCAGTGTATTGTTCAGGAGTTCTATAACTGTCGCACATTGTTGCTGAATGTGAACAATATTGATGTCCCCAGTATAACCTAGCCGTGCTTCCAGCTATTCGACGACAAACTAAAGCACATTAGAGAAATGCTACAGATGAGTAAGAGTGCCAATATTACACGGAACCACCTACCGCAGGCTTCGTTGCTATAGTTCAAAAGAAACAAATGGCGACTCCCCGTTTTTAGCACCTAACTATACATTTAAGCTCGAATACCAGAATCTTAAGTGAACATTGCGATGCCCTCCTAGCTTTATGCAGATATCACTTAGTCAATACTATCTGTCCAGCAGATCTGTGAAGAGGTTTGACATTTTTCTGTAACCTTACCGGACTGAGGCCCACAACCCACTTCAGTTTGACAACCAAATACCACCAATCCTTGCACCTACAGTTCGGTTATGATTATGGTCTGAAACCGTACAACACCCTTGCCCTTCATCATCAACAAGACTTTTTGACCTGCAATGAGATTTTTGTTACACGTACTGAGCCCAACGTGTATCAAATAAACAAAAATGAAGACGACACCTGGTCATCTGTAATCACTAATTTCTATCCCTCCACCCTAGATTTCCGGACCAAATTATAGTTGCCTCGCTGAAGTCTTCTCCAGCAAGGATTAAATTGAACTTCCCAACTCAATTATCACATTAGGCAGATCAATCTACAAAACTGATGAAAATACAGAGCAGCTGCACAAATTACTGCGACAAGACATTCTGTGCATGCTAACATAATAAAACCATTCACTTAGAAACTAAATTCGGTCATGAGTTGGACGACTTATTTCGGCCGAAGAAAAATTACTAAGAACACCACTGGGTTGGCAGAGGGCCCTCGTAATGTCAACTACTTACAACGGGACTGAATATAGAGGAAATCTCTAACCCAGATGGCCTTGTAAGATTTTAAGACCAAACTACAGAAACTTTTGTCAATCAGCTTAGCTTGTATCCATTTAGTAACCAAATAAAGATAACTGGAACGACAAGTGCAACACACAAATTTATGCAATGAAAATTAAAAAACAATGCAAAGTAATGTAGGTGATACACATTATAAGTAAATGGTAATAAAAAAGACTACAAAAAACCAACAAGCAAAACCATACATAATTGTTTCCATTATTGAAAACGAAATACAATAGAGTAAATAAATCCAAAATCTTGTACTCTATCAGATTAGAAAGTAATGCTGCTTGCCAGAAATAATAAAAACACACAATGACTATAAAAAGAAAGGCACAAGTGCGAAATAATTGTGTAGTACGATAAAGATAAGTAACATAAGATAAAAACAAAACAAATGCGACTGTGTCCACCTTGCTTAAAGGCGTTACACACAAATTAACTAAATCAATTTGCGAAAATAAACTAGAGGAACGGAATGGTTAATTTATATGAAATGATGCTCATTTAATGAAAAAATAGGCCAAGTTTACAGAGAAAGATGAAACATAAAATAGATGAAGTGAGGTAGGGAGACATGTTAACCATCAAGAGAATTCAATCACTGGTAAATAGATGCGCTAACAAATGTGCACGACTGACACGCATTGATCTCTGTTGATTTATTATTTGTTTATCAGGTGTATCTTCTCTCTCATATGGGTGTTATAGTCTTCGAATCTTACACCATAACAGCGCGTTAAACGGATTAATATAAGTGGAAATGACGACAAAATGACGAAACAAATTATAAACTAATGAAGAGTAAACAAAACAAATATCTATAAGACAATAAAGACTAAAATAAACAAATAAGTGGATCAGCATTTAAAGACTGTAATAACCACCAAATGAAAAAGGAATACGAAATCCAATAAACAAATAATAAATCAAGAGTGATTAATACTTGTCCGTGTGTTCCAGCCGTCTAAAAATTTCAGTTTCAATAAGAAAAATCCAAACAAACAAAAGCAGTCAAAAATAATTAAGTATATGATATTCAAGATAACCTAAGCCTAGAAAACAGAAAAACATAAAACTGTTTATAGTCAAAATATAGAAGTAAAAATAAAACATGGTTAACATTGATTAATCTGAAGGTTGTTATTCACGTAGCCCACCTTCTTCACCTTCAGCCTCAGATGAGGCCAGGAGTTTGGAGAAATTCATTAGGTCGTGTGGATTTAAAGAACCAGCGCATTCAGAACTATTTTCGGCCTCCAGTCCATTGCAAACTGACATTTGGTGGTCAGAAGCATCAGACCTGGAGACTGAAGTTCTGCTCAAAATAGCACACACAGATCGCGGCGTGTTTGGTGTTGGGGTCCCAACTCTGCCTTCTTCGTGTTCAGTCCCTGACGTGTAATGAGTCATTGTTGAAGATTTTGGTATTTCTTGGCATGTCGAACGAGGTGATAAGTGAGTGATGTAAGAACTTGATAAAGGCGGTAAAACAGATGCAGCAATTTGTTCGGGAGCGAACGAAGACATTTGGTTTTCCCAGTCAATCAACTGACGAAAAGAGACATTCCGTCCACCGCCGATAATTATGAGAACATTGGAGGGACGAGGTAGGCGACCCTCTAGTTGTAGGCGTGATAGGTAGCCTGAATATATAGTCGAAAGTGCTGCTCCACAAGCTGGATCAACAAGCATTCCATGGTCATCTGAAATGTATAAAAAACCTTCATATTAGTGAGGTATGACAAGGCAGAATTTTGATGAAAGAAAATACTGAAGGCTTGAAACTGTACCTTAGAGTACGCGATGAGAACTATGACAATGTCTATCTGGATGTGGTTGACTAGAAACTTACACAACTAACTCGGATTTGTTACTTGCGGCATACTGCTAGTTCCCAATTGATCTTAATTGACATGGTTAAACCTTGTATCAAGTCCTTATAATATACAATCTTTGTTTATACATATTAATACCACTGAAGTAACTGCTTCTATTAACTTGATGTTTATCTTGCTGTGCTCATGAGATATGGCAACTTGGACTGATGCTTATAATCAGTTGATGAGGTTATGAATCTTCATCGACTGAGATGGTTGGGCCACGTGTTACGTATGCCTGAACACCGATTACCACGACGTGCAATGCTATCCGGTGTTGGGGATGGTTGGAAGTTAGGGGCGGCCAAACCAAAACGTGGCATCAGTGCTTGAAGTCACTAACTTCTAATCTGAGCCATGTTGATAGATGCAGACTACTTGGTTGGGGTCCGCGTGACTATCGTAACCAATGGTTGGAGACTCTTGGTGACATGGCTCAGAATCGATCACAATGGCGTCGGTGTATACACTCGGTTTCTTCCCTTAAACTAAGAGATTAAAAGCGCTTCATATCTTTCTTTCTACTAACCAATTCTTTCTTCTTGTACTATATCTCTATATGCAATCTTTCTCTTATATATTACCACCTTTTACCTAACCACTGTTATGAATCCGGTGTTCATCTTGTTGTGCTGATGCGGTATGGCAACCTGGACCGATGCACATAAGTGCATGGTTCTACGTTGTAGCTGACTGACTGACTGATGCTTATAAGTGCCTGGTCCTACGTTGAAGCTGACTGACCAACATGGTTGAAATATGTTAGTCTTGTAGAGTGTAAGGCAACACAAATTGATTTTCGTATGACTAAAACAACCAATGCTCTTGATCAGAACTTGTTAAAGTGTATATTTCCAACACTGACAGACGTTTGAAATATGTGGCTACTCAAGTCTACTTTTAGACTTAGTTTGTTTGGCTGACTTCAAAGTGGTTACCTTATCATCGACAGGAATAATGTCATCGTCAACATACAAAGTTAGAGACGGGTACAGAAATAATTTGTGAAGCTACAGAAACAAGATCTTACCCAAAAAACGTTTAACTCCATCAACTGCCTCTCCGTCAGTACAGGTCACTGCACTAATCGAATGGCATTGAGCCAAACTCCAAGCACGCTGTGCCAAGACTGGGGCGCTGAGAGAAGTTGCAATCGTTGAGCTTCGTGGGATAACTGCTAACTGACCAGATTTCAATGAACGATTTAAGCAATCTGCCCCCTCTGTTTCCACAGTTACGATATGGGTTGAAGACCATCCTCTATTCCATAGACCCTAAACATGTAGAAATACCTCATGAAGATCTTCGGAGAATAAGCCCTGGATAAAACTTATTTGTGGGATAAAAGGTTTATAAAAAGGCATCACCTTAAAAATATATTAAGATACTTTAGTTGTTCAGCGTACTTGAATTATGCAATTCGTTGTTAAATGTACTGATTATGAATAAGAAGCCTGAATTTACAAATTTTTGTTGTATCAGCATTATAGAAATGGGTTGACATCGTGAGTAAAAATAGCATGAAAAATGTTACAGATACATACAAGCATTTTTGTAGGACAAGAGGATAGATGATTTGGTTTACAGCCAGTGGACCACACATTCAAGACACTTATGTTCACTTTGTATCAGGTAGTATTGCTAACCCTTGGAGCATTAAGTTGTACATGGGATATCAAATTTTAGATGAAAGAAATTTCAAAATGTGACGACACTCACTTGTATGACGCCTGCAAGCAACCCTCCACCACCAACGGCGACAACTATAGCATCTGGTTGACCGATCTCTGGAGTGACCTCGTCGACAATAGTTTCGTATCCTTCCCATAGTTCAGGCTGATCATAAGGATGAAGAAGTCGGACAGTGGGATCATTGTGTCCGGATTGTAGGTCGTTTACTAATTGTTCAGCACGATGATGGGCCTCCAAGAAACTGGTGCCACCAATAACGATCTTGGCTTCCTGAGCCTCTAATGATAGGCGCCGTCTAATAGTTTGCTCAAGAGCCTCAGGAACTACTAATGTACAGTTTATTCTGTAAGTGTGAGCTGCAAAAGATACGGCTATGCCTGCATTCCCAGTAGTTGGACAGACAATATGAGTCACTCCCGCGGCTGCCCACTGAAATCAACAAATGAAAATCGAATGAGGTGATTAAACAAAGTTTGGTGAACTGTTTTGTTGTCGTAATGTATATTTTTGTTTATTGACGCAAACAACCAATTCCTAGCGATATCCATTATATTTAAAAACTGGGAGTGTTCGTAATGTGAAATGACATTTTCAAATATGTCCGAAGCATACTCGTAATTATCCACTTTGAACACTTCTGGTCACACTATTACCGATTAGTATTAGTATTCGTTGTGGCTTTTTGTTCACTCGATTGACGTGACAACGAATTAATTTTTGTACCTTCCATTTGGTTAACTAAACTTCTTAATTAAACTGGATTCATCTATTTTAGAAGTTAGCATGTTTTACTGATAATGGAAACCAGAAGCTTGTGCTCCCTAAATAAGTAACAATAAACAATTTGATAAAATACAAGGAATCTGACAGTGAAGTAACACTTGAATTCGATGTCCTCAGTTTTCACTCTACTATCCAGCAGCACCTCATGACTTTTAAAAATAACAACAGAATCTTAAGTATAATCGCTTAAATTATATAATTAAAAGAATGTGGCTCCTCAGACTTAGGTGAAGTGCTATTTTAAGACAAATAACCCAGTAACTACATGAATGCACTTAAATAGGGTAGATACAGTGGACGGTTGTTTGAATCGATGTAAAAAAAACGATTTTAACATTAATTATTCATTGAACCAGTCATTTGCAGCATAAACCTAGATCAGTCTTGAAGAAATAGTTATTTGATGTAGAAAAACACCTCAAACAAACTTGCATTGTCGCTTACGATCGAAGGACTTAGCATCTTTTCGGTTTTCATTTGACGGGACTGCATTATCTACGTATTCTATGTTATCAGGTGAATCTATTACATTAATTTCTAAAAAGTTAGGTAGTAATACTTATGGTTGCCACGAGAAGTCTCGTGTGGAGACTGCGATTGACGGGTCCTCACGTGGATTGACAAAAATACAAAATATCTAACTCAGACAAATGAAGTACTAAATAACTTACCTTGCGAACCACATTTTCAACACCACGGATTTTGAATGATCCAGTCGGCTGAATATTTTCTAGTTTGAGCCATATGTTCATCTGACAACCCCGCTGTGTTAATAAACTCGACAACACAGGACTTGGTATCAAAGGACTTTTAACAGACAAACGCCTGCATACTCCAGCTGTCAAAGCACTTGGGTTTATTTCGTCAGAACGTCCAGTTTCCGGAAGTGGGTTAATTACAGACCGCTGTTGGGAAAACAGCCATGGAGAATGACTCGTTGTGTTCGTTAAGTTTCTGAGAGAATGTTCCAATTTCGGCTGGTCATTGTCGACAGTTCGTTGGGAGTTTAGTGTGTTAATTATTGAGATCTCTCTGGATGAACAGCGATCAACCCCAGCAACCAAACCTGGTGAGTTTGCATTATGGTGACCGTCAAGGAAATCCAAGACGTCTAATGAACTGGTTTGTGAGAGGACGTCGCGGTTGAAGATCGATGTTAGGTTGTGATCAGTGACTACGAAAATAATTATGTGGATGAATTATTCACAGAAGGAACTGAGATTGGTTTTGAATTTTAACTGATTTAATTAATTTTACAGGTATGAATTATGACTTGAAGTGCTAAATCCACTCGATTCTGTGTCACTCAGTCTTCACAACCACTGTTTGCGATAGTCGCGTGGACCCCAACCAAATAGGCTGCATTTACCAACATGGCTCAGACTAGTGATTTGAAAAACTGATGCCACGTTTTGATTTGGTAGCCACTGACTTCCTTAGATCAGTCTCCAACACCAGTCAGCATTGCATGCTGTGGTAATCGGTGGTCCGGGGGCGCGTATTACGTGACCCAACCGTCTCAGGTCAACGAAGACCAACATTATCAACTGATTAACCATTATTCCTTAATACCCTGAGTTTAACCTCACTCTTACCTGGCGATCCCAGTAGACGCTATCATGATGTAATGCTGGTATCCCACAAGTAGGTCTTGACGCAAACCTGTCCCCAAGCAGCAAAGCATTCCAAACATCTTGGCATTGTTGCCGAGTGTTACCATAAGACTTATCAGCGTCTTCACCAAACTGGACTGTTACCTGTGTAGTGTAAGTTGATAAGTCAACCTACTGGATGAAGATCAATACCTAAAAATTCATTCGGTGAGGACGTTATTTCTAGTAGCAGGTCTACGATAAAACTGAACAAAAATGAAGATAGTGGACAGTCTTGCTGGACATCACTTGATGTTGCAAAATCAGGTGACAGTCCGCAAAAAGATCTGATTCGACTGAAAATGTTCGAGTAAATGGCCTCTATATGGCTTATGTACACCGGAAGTACACTTCAATGACAGACTGCCACAGAACCTCTGGGTCTACGGAGTCAAATTCTGCTTTCAAGAAAAACTATCATCGTCGGACGCCAATAAGCACATATAACAGGAGAAATTTGTTCGAGTCAAGGCTGGTTAAAAATTTTGCGGAAACGCTTAATGCGAGAGTCATCCAACACTTTTGAATTTAGTAGTGAAACAAACAGAACAAAAGAGTAATCTTACCTTTGTTTCGCATGATTGGTCGAGGAGGAATGCCAAATGGAGTGTTTGATGGTAACTGGAGGGAACTGCTAGACTCCACTGCTACGTTTAGAGTGCCTTCAGAGTTTTTTGTTTCTGCCATATACTGACTTTGTGAATTTCCATGTACAGCGCAGCCTAGTGTGTTCAGCGTCCGTCTATTCAGCACATTGGTGAGTATATTCGATTCGGTCAAAGGATCGGCGTTACTGTTGTTGTTAGTTGTACGATTGAGTGGGAGTGGTGACTGACGCGAAGAAAAGTAAAACAGCCCATAGGTTTCTCGTGTTACTGAACCAATTAATCGCAATCTGAGCGGTGATGTCCATTCTGGGGCCTGATAACCATTTAGGCGCAAAACAGAAAGTTCAGCACTACGAAATGAAACAAATACACAAACCTACTTATTTTTCTCCTGGAAAATGACAGATGCACTTGAAGTGAACTTGCTGTCCGCTGATTCTGAACTCATATCGCTTGAGGCTCCATTCAAAGCGGGACTAAGACGAGGCTTTTGACCTGGTGGTGAATCGGGGAATTGAGGAGCTAATAATCTAATAACCACAACGGCCCCGAAATTAGAAAAGAGACGCTGATATCATAAATTAATCTGCAAGTCAACCTACGAGTAAATCCGGTTCAGTCCACTCTACAGGTATTCCAGTTACTATAATCTCCCAACCAATTATATTTTCATTTGTGACTTCGGAGTTTAATGAGCCTGGGAAATTAGTTCCATTGGAAAATGTTTGGAGACGATGTCCTGTGGCGTTATTTATGATAATGAGATTTACCTGGTGTGAACCGACGACCCCCTGAACTGGCGTACGCCACACGCAGTCGTTTCTGCTCCGTCTCGTAACCGTGGTAGGTTTGTATTGCTAAAGCTGCGTGCTGAGGGTTCACGAAATCTACGAAGCCATAACACAAACTAGCACCCGTGTTCTATACATAATAGTAAAAAGCAAATACTCTTACCTTGTCTCTAATAAGCTTACACTGCCTAATAGGTCCCACTCGCTCAAAAAGACGCTGGAGGTCGTTTTGGTCGTAGCTCTGAGGAAGGTAGTTGATTATCAAATTGGTGCGTGAGCGATCCTCATTACAAAGGGTGTTACTATTTCCATTCTGATTATTATTCCCCAAATTTAAGCCAAGAAACTTGAGTCGAGACATCGTATCAATGCTGTTTACGTTTGGTCCGTTTATATTCAAGACTGAACCACTGACAGAGTTATTCATTGAGTCTTGGAAAGGAAGTGAAGGGAAGACGTCCGAAAGATTGCTGCCCATACATCCATTTACGTGCATATTTACTGTCCTTACAACCCAACAAGGCGAGGTCAGCACGCAGCACCAGGTCAAATTCAAAATTCTGCGTTGACGCTGAAACCAATGAACTTAAAGAAAGATGAACCTGATGCAGTAAAACCCTTGATCAAAGGGATACAGTTATTTCACCACGAAACGAGATTTGAAAGCCACTTTTGTTCACAATTAATAACGTTATATTTTTAAAGGGAATATTAGGACGCCAACTCTATTGCAAACATGGTAAATAATCTAGGCAGATGAACGTGCTGTAGAAAGCAACATCGGTGTCTTACGTCTCGAATTCTCTGAATCCTTCGGTTGACATGATTAAATATCACCATCCTCGTGATTGTCATCGTTTATCGACCTAGTTGTGGCATATTATCAGATAGACTATTTGTGATTAGAATGAAATATTGTTTCTCCAAAATCACCCAGTTCAGTAATGGACCTATAAGCAACCCATCAATAATGCTCCTAAGAGATTTATGTCGTAAATTTGCCTAGCAGTCTAGTACATATTTGTTCAATCACACAACCATTTAGATTTACATTGTCTTCCGGATCAGTGATCTACTGGATTAACGATGTACGACAGTCCCGAAAGCTTTGTATCCGCGCTCAATAAGTTTGAGGTATTCGTGTTTGTTTTCAGAACGACTCTGTCAGCGATCGACTTCTAAAGGTATAGAACCATAGTTCAAGCCATGGACTGTAATACTAGGTAAATACTCTGTTTTGATAGAATCTCAAGTCCATAGTGAACATCAACCACTATTAACCCGGATTTATAGCATTTGCAGCACTTCAGAGAAAGCTATTCGGAGGTGTTAGCACGGTTGTTGTTTAATTACTTTTGGTATCTGTAAGCAAATCCCCAAAATAAATAGCTGTGTTAGTCTTCAACATTTGATGCTGACTGCGTCGGTTTTACTGGACTCACCTAGATGAAGGCACTCGGTCACGAGTAGGTACGCCGTGCTATGATTTCCTTTCAACTTTTAGCTAGCTCAGACAAAACGTTCCTCGACATACCAATAGCCTTCCAAACATATATTTGAACTCCATTTCTGACTTCTGATTTTACGGGGTTGGTGTACTTCGATTATGAAGGTGTTATATGCAAGAACATTGACAAACTCTGAATAACGGAAGCATTTTTAAAAAGATACAGACAGGTAAGAATACTGAAAATTAACTTTCCGAGTTACAAATGCAACCAACAGCTATAAACTACGGGAAATGATAATAAGTGAACAAATTGCTAGGACGTTCTTCAAACAGTAAGCATTGAGGTGTTCTTGGAACCTAACAGTTGCTCTAGAACGTAACAGTTTAAGACCAGTATTAGATGTCGGCTAAGCTCCAACTTGATCATTGACCATCATAAGTTGCGTGTCAATTATCGAAACTGTGACTTTCGGGTTTGGGATGTGAAGGTCGATAGGAACAATGTAGGATCCATTTTAAAAACTTAGATGATTTTGTGAAAAAACTGGGTTATGATGGCTGCCATTTAGTCTTTTTCCTCCTTTTCATTACATTGCCTGAACTGAATGCAGTTATGGATTATTTCGTCGTGAAGTGAAACACAATTCCAGAACTAGAACCACTCACTGTTGTGACAAGTAATTAGGGTCACAGTTCCCGGAACGTTTTTGCTGATGTTTTGTAGAACTAAATATCATTTTTTGAACAATCAGCATGATCTATCGCGAAAGGACTAATAATACTTTTGCATTAGTAGGAAAGTTTGTGTTTTGTAACTGGTTGTTATTTTATTTTCATGATCAATCTACCTACTTGATGCAGTTCAGATTTGATTGAGTTTGTTCAAAATCGCTTTATTTTGTAACTAACAACAGAGCTGCCCTTCAAGTAAGTGGCTCCCAGCCGATCGATGCTAACGTTTCCCTTGTCGACTGGGTCGTACTTGAGTTTACAAAGAAGAAATCGATTGATATTATCAAGGGCTCATTGTAATGAATCAGGATGTATGTAAACATGTGTATTTAACAATAAGGCATGTCTGGCAGAAACCTTATTTGATAAGGTTTGAGTGAGGGTAGATCTTTCTTGCGTTTAGGTAACCCTCGTGCTATTGACAGAAGAAACCAGACTAATGGTGAATAGGCCTTTATTTAGATCTTTGCGCAGTCACAGCGGAGCGTGGGACTACCTTTTCAGATAAACGAAGCCTCTCAACATTCAATATAGAATAATAGGAAATATAACGCTTATACAAGACAAGCGAGTGAATGAAAACTTGAACCCTACTGTTTTGATATATGCTTAGTCGTTTTAGGTCAACGCTTCCTTTTAAAGTATACGGACTGGGATTTTCCCGGAATATTTGCCACATTAGTAGGTTTTTGGATGAAGTGACAGCAGCATTTTGTTTAAGGACGATTCATGATTGGTGTTGTGGCACGAACTTATTAGTTTTATTCATTTCTCGTAGCCCGCAAAAAACTCTTATATGTGGTGAGCGTGGTTTTTCAGAGGTCCGCAATTTCCTTTTGCGTGAACAGACGACTTTCTTTGACTAGATAGAAACTAGTCAGCAAATGAAGCTAATTTATCGGCGAGGTTGTTTTGGGACGAAACTAGAGATGTTCGCACTTTTAGATGGTGCTTGAGTAAAGGCGTTCTTTGAAACATCCTTCGTCAAAAGTTTGCCGGCCAATGACCACTGGCATTCAGAGCAACATTTCTGCTCCTAAGTCACACCCTAATTCGACGTTGTGGGAAAGTTTACCTAGCTTTCATCAGTCGGTTAGGCTTTGGATCTAAGAAACGATTTTTACGAAGTTTTGTAGATTTTGGAAAAATCTCAAAGTGCAACCTGCCTATTGAACTGGCGTGGTAGTGCATGCAGTATTGTGAGGAAATGTAAACATGATCTAGGAAGTCAGCCCCTGTAAAGCAAAACCAGACTCGATGTTATCATGTCAAAGGTGCACGCGTTCTAGAATGAGTAGTAGATAGATCCTAATCCCTATAACTTTTGGTGTTCATCCTGTTTTTACACCATTCTAGAATAGTTCTTAAACAATAACTGTATAAATCCAATGAGGTATGACAATTCTCCTTTCTAATGGTCATCAACTAGAACGTTCTGTTAGAACACGTAGCATCAGTTCAACAGTCAAACCTTTACAAAGTGAGACTGGGTCTTCACTGGAAAACATACGGCAATGTTCACTGCAAGTAAAACTGCCTATTATTCCGAAGACATCAAAGATATGCAGTTTTTCACAACTCTTCTATCTGAAGTCACCCTTTACGAAATAATCTAAAAGCTAAACGAGAAGCCGAGGATGAAGAAATGTAAATATATTTTTAAATAATGGATAATGTATTGAAGTGAATGCAGTTCAAACTGATTGGTTATCGTTAAATGCACAGCATGACGCACTCGAATGTCATTTGGTGCGAATGCTTCACCGAGCGTCTTTGGTTAGGAGCATTTTCAGTAAGACTGATAAGGACAGGTCCAACTTCGAAAACATACGGAGTTTCCATCTTCAGGAATAATTTACCTTCACAACAATTAATACTAAATAATGTGGACTGAGTTTCTGTTAGAGTTTTTCTTTACTAATTTACCTACCTTGAGGTAATGATGATTCATTTCTGTTAGATATCGAAGGTTTTTATTGCAGACAGCTCTTCCGTCTCATCTGAAATAAATTAAGGTTATTCAGTGAAACTTCAGATTGTCCAGAAGGCTCATTTATTAATGATCTGTCTAGTTCATTGAACTCTTAAACACACCATTAAACAGAGGATCGTAGAATCTGAAGGTACGTGGTAGGCAAAACTGATGTCTGGACCCTATAAAAAGACTTATGTCAGATATTGGGCTGGAGTTACATAAAAATCTTTGTCGTAAACATCAATAAACGTAGGACAGTAGTGATCATCTATCCATCATGTTCTTCTTTAGAGATTTTAGTGCTACTCTTTCCATGGTTATAACGGACCAGGAACCACTGCTTCAGGTTTCTCTTAATATTGACAATATTCGACCAGTAAAATACAATTACTTTTGGGATTTTTGTTTAGGACAGCTGATAGCCTGACTCTGGAAATGTTTAAAACTTCTGTGTTTGTTTAAGACCTGATCTGGAAAAAACCTCTGAGATATTCCCCTCGCCTGTAAAGAATTGTTGTTCTCTGTGAAAGTGTTCGAAGGAAATCAACTAAAAAGTTATTTAAATTTTACTCAATTGGCTTGGATGCCCTTAGCTAACCGCCGGTGAAGCATAGGAGGGATATGATAATGATATATCATATTTCTTATAGTTCTCCCCACCCACCTCTACTTAAAAGAATATTCTCCCAAGACAGGAGACGAAAGACTTTTCAAGAAATTCCGTGGGGACTATATCACGGTTTGAACCAGTTACTTGTCTACTAGAAGCCACAGTTTTGATATCCTCTGCCCAGTTTTCCGAAAGAAGGCTTGACGACTACTCTAACTCTGTAAGCACTGAGGGAAATTCATCTAAGTATAACTCCTCGATTGTTTCGATCATTTAATGATTGTTATGCCCTTAAGTTTACAGAAGGAATATGAAACGAACCATACCCTTTTAAAACCAAGAACAGAACATAACTAATCAGACGCAGATCCAAGGGAAATAACAGCTCGTTTATTCTTTCGTGCCTATAAGTAACCCTCGTGCCATTGATAGAAGAAACCAGACAAGTAGTGAATAGGGCTTATTTCGATCTTAGCGCAGTCACAGTGGAGCGTGGAATTATCTGTTCAGACAAACAAAGGCTTTCAACGTTCAATATAAGATAATAGGGAATATAACGCTTACACAAAATAAGGAAGTGAATGAATACTTGAACAATACTGTTTTGGCATATGCTTGGTTGTTTGGGGTCAACTCTTAACCAACCAACCTATGCTGTTACAATTCTACCAAGGAAAACTGATGTTATGGTAACATTTCGCTGGTGTGTGAATAAACATGGAGAACAAAG